ATTTATAAAAGATTGTGTGGAAACCATACTAAAAGTGAACAAACGACCAAAAAGTGAAAATGGCGTACACCAAAAAAAATTTCAGATTTATAAAACCGTTTCTCCGGGTCTTTATAGATCACAGCTGCACCTCAGAGTTCGCAGTTTCCCGTCTCTAAAATGAGTGTACGCATGGGTCAGAGCTGTGAGGGAACGCACATTTTCACATCAAGTTTGGATTTTATAAATCACAACCTTTGCGTGAAAAGTGGCGTACGCAAGTTTCTGGGCTCATTTTGTGCGTACGCAAGCTTTATAAATCTGTTTGTCCACCATGTGGAGGCGGAGCTTATAAGGCAGAGTTCACCTGAAACTCCTCAGACTGAAGAAGTCTCTCGGAGGATGAAATGTTTCATTAAAGAAGAACCCGTCCAGAGGACCTACTTATTTTTCTTTTTGAGTCATTTCATTAGTTTTCATGTTAATTTAAAACACGTCGTTACATCAGTGCTGCTAAAATCTTTAGAGTTTCAGCCGTGTCTGGACTTGGACACGTGGACTCAGCCCGCTCCGGTCTCTGACCCCCGTCTGAACTCTGACAGAATGTCTTTTCCCCTGCATCCCAACCTTTCCTTCTGTGTAGCCTCATTGACTCTAATTAGCCACTGCGGCATTTCCCACGTCTTGTGACAGCTTGTACAGACAAGCAAACCTTCTCCTACCCCCCTGTCCCCCCTGTCCCCTCCCTCCCCTCCCTCCCCTCCACGCTCGCTTGTTCTGCATCCAGCTCTCTGTCTCTCCCTGGAGCTCCAGCTGTTTGGCCTGCAGTAAACGTTACCACATACAGCGAGCTGCTGGGATCTCAGCCATCATGCATCTGGGACAAAGTGCTAGACCCCCCTGCCCCACCTCATTGGGGGCTCCTCCTGTTTTTTCCTGCTTATCCTCGTCTCTGTTTCCTGATGTAATTGTGTCCATTTCTTCCCACACTCATTAGTGTTCGTGCTCATTGGCTGATGTTGGCTGACAGAAGCTGCGTGGCGCTGAAACACAGCTGGCTGCTCCCCGGACGACATCATCGTCAGCCGCTGTCTTCTGCAAGCTTTAGTCCCTGAAGCGATGGGGGTGGGGGGGGGGGAAATAATGCTGAACAGGAGTTTTAGCCAGAACTTTGTCCCTTACTTTTTGTTTTTCTAAACAACAAGCCGCTGAGTGCAGCTCATTACTGTCAGAAACATGTCTGCTGGATCTGGACAGTCGAGTAAAAAACAAAAACGAAACAAAGGATGTGAGACTCTGCAGAGCAGCTGTGATACAGGCAGATTATTAAATCAGGTTCTTTTTTTTACTGGATTAGAGCTGATGTTCTAAAACCTGTGCTGTTCTGGATTGATGGAGCCGTTCCAGAGGCACTAATGTACCCCTACACCATCAGAGAGGCAAGCTTTTGAACGATGGGGCGATAAAAGACAACGAAACGTCCAGAATGACTGAACCCTAACAGGAAGTGAAGGAACATGATGAGGAGAGTCCGATTCAAAACTGAAGAATTGAAGAGAAATGATGATTAATTAATTTTCTTTTTCATTTTGTTCACAAACCATTATTGTTCGTTAGAAGACGGTACAAAGCAATAACACAACAGCCAGGGTGGACTGACAATAAATATTAAATAAAACACCAGCAGCTCATAAACTCTGTTCATTTCTAACAGATTTATCAGGAGAGGAAATCTTTAAAAATGATAATAATCTTCAGTTCTGATGAAAATTCGCTGCAGAGCGTTGCTGATGTAACGCATGAGAAAAACCTTAAGAAGAGCAGAATATTTCTTATTTCTTTTATCAGATTACAAAAACTCACCTGAGACTTCCGTGGATTTTCCCCCTGTTGCTCAGAGCTGCAGCCTTCAGTGAGTGATGATCTTTACATTATAAATGTAGGTTATTAAATTAAGAAGCAAAGAGTGATTGATTTGGCAGAATACACAGCGCCGCTTATTATTTGCTTTTTTTGTTTCATTTTGTTTGTGCTTTTATCCGAGTTTACATTTTGTCAGAGAAAGTCCGCATCTTCTTTCCTCTTTTTCTTTTTATCTGTTTGGTAAATAAATATATTTTGATACATTTTTTGCAGCCATTTTTGTAGAAAAAAAGAGTTGTTTTTGCGTCTGCACCACATGCATGTTTTTCTCCAGAGATTTAACTAAAGAAATGAGTTTTTACACCCTGCTGTGGCCCTAATGTCCTGTATGTTTTCCTTGTTACTCTGCTCCAACACGGCTGATTTAAATGATGGAATAACTCCTTCAGCAGGTCCTGAAGTTCAGCAGGAGGTTGTTTATGACCCGGGGATTTAAATTGGGTCTGCAGAAGCAGGGAAACCTCTGAAGATGGGAGCAGAAATAATAAAAAAAAGTCAAGCTGGTGAGGCAGATGTGGGTCACACTTAATTCATGATGACTGAGTTTGACTCCACCGACACCTTTTAGAGCTGCAGAATACATTTTTCTGCCTGGCAACACTGCGTGATGCTTTTTAAAGTGCAGGTTGTGAAAGAAGCTCATTTTACCAGCAGCTTATCTCCAGATCGTTTCTCATCATGTGACCAAAAAGTGGATTTTTATTTAAAAACAGTTTTCAGAAATGAACCTTTATTTTGTTTACCTTGTTTTTCAATGAGCACAAAGAGCAAGTAAACAACAAACAACATGAATGCTGCGTGACAGGAGATTAAATCAAACACTCTTCTTTTAAAAGCAAATATCTAAACAGCAGTGATTGCTTCTTATCATTTCTAGAAAAGGAAGTGGAAACCAGAGGTTTATAGAAACTAAGTACATTTACATCGTTACAGTACTTATGTTGTTTTTTGTTTTTGTATTGTTTTTAGAGGATTTGTAATTTTACCAAGTTTTTTTTTTAGTAGTTTGTCATTTTTGTTACATTTAAATCCTAAAAATGATACTTTTACTTCTTTACTTTAAAATGTAACACCTACTTGTTACAAATAAAATCTGTCTGAACTCATCATGAGTGGAGTTGTTTCTGCTCTAAAAAATGAAGAGTTGAATTTACTCAACCAATTCAACTGGTTCCACTAAACATAGTTGAGTAAATGTGAAGCAATATACAGATTTTCTTTAAAAGAAGATATGTACAGCGGGTAAAATAAGTATTGAACACGTCACCATTTTTCTCAGTAAATATATTACTAGAGGTGCTAATGACATGAAATTTTCACCAGATGTTGGTAACAACCCAAGTGATCCATACATACAAAGAAATCAAACCATAAATGTCCAGAAATGAAGTTGTTTGTAATGATGTGGAATGGTACAGGGAAAAAGTATTGAACACACTTACTGAAATTTATCTAATACTTTGTACAAAAGCCTTTGTTGTCAATGACAGCTTCAAGACGCCTCCTGTATGGAGAAACTAGTGGCATGCATTGCTCAGGTGTGATTTTGGCCCATTCTTCCACACAAACAGTCTTCAAATCTTGAAGGTTTCGTGGACCTCTTCTATGAACTCTGATCTTTAGTTCTTTCCATAGATTTTCTGTTGGATTCAGGTCAGGTGATTGGCTGGGCCATTCCAGCAGCTTTAGTTTCTTTCTCTGAAACCAACTGAGAGTTTCCTTGGCTTTGTGTTTGGGCTCATTGTCTTGCTGAAATGTCCAGCCACGTTTCATCTTCATCATCCTGGTAGATGGAAGCAGATTTTTATCAAGAATGTCTCTGTACATTTTTCCACTCATCCTTCCTTCAATTATTTGAAGTTTGCCAGTACCATATGCTGAAAAACAGCCCCACACCATGATGTTCCCACCTCCAAACTTCACTGTTGGTATGGTGTTTTTGGGCTGATGTGCAGTGCCATTTGACCTCCAAACATGATGTGTATTCTGGCATCCAAACAGTTCAATGTTGGTCTCATCTGACCAGACTATATTCTCCCAGTATTACACAGGCTTGTTTAAATGTTGTGCAGCAAACTTTAAAGGAGCTTCAACATGCTGTTTCTTCAGCAGTGGAGTCTTGCGTGGTGAGCGTGCATACAGGCCATGGTGGTTCAGTATATTACTTATTGTTTTCTTTGAAACAATCGTACCTGCTAATTCCAGGTCTTTCTGAAGCTCTCCACAAGTGGTCCTTGGCTCTTGGACAACTCTTCTGATAATTCTTTTCACTCCTCTGTCAGAAATCTTGTGAGGAGCACCTGGTCGTGGTCAGTTTATGGTGAAATAATGTTCTTTCCACTTCTGAATTATGGCCCCAACAGTGCTCACTGGAACCTTCAGAAGTTTAGACATTCTTCTGTAACCGATGCCATCATTATGCTTTGCAACAATAAGGTTGTGAAGGTCTTGAGAGAGCTCTTTACTTTTACCCATCATCAGATGGTTCTTGTGTGATACCTGGCCATCATTTGGGACTGAACCAGCTGATATTAACTTGCACTGACAAGGGGCAGGCTTACTTTCTAATTACTGAGAGAGTTCAGCTGGTGTCTTGGCTTTCCATGCCTTTTTACACCTCCCTTTCTTCATGTGTTCAATACTTTTTCCCTGTGCCATTCCACATTATTACAAATAACTTCATTTCTGGACATTTATGGTTTGATTTCTTTGTATGTATGGATCACTTGGGTTGTTACCGACATCTAGTGAAAATTTCATGTCATTAGCACCTCTAGGAATATATTTACTGAGAAAAATGGTGACGTGTTCAATACTTATTTTACCTGCTGTAGCTCTGGTTTAGTGAACAAGTTCAACAGTTTATTTCATAGAGAGTGTAAAATACTTTTACTTTCCCAGTTTTTGTGAACAGTTTTATGATTTTTACTTAAGAATTTTTCACATCAATAAAGTCATTTTCTGTTAAGGTTTTTTTTACTTGGTTACTTTTTTAAGTACTTTACAGACCTCTGCTGAAAACTCAAAGAAGTTGGGTTCGTTGCGTTTTACATCCAAACCCAACCTATAATAACCCCCCTCCTCCTGGTTTCTGTCAGGTGGGACGTCAACGCTGCGCCTCTCGTCGGTCAGAGAGCTGCCCGACCAGCTGCAGGAACTCTACCAGCAGGGCTTCATCCTGGCAGCCGTTCACCCGTTCATCCACCCCTGTGGTCCCGAGTCCAACAGCCCCCAGCACCAGCTCTACCGGGCCATACTGCTCCGAATCAACGACGGGTAAGACACAAGTCAGAGGTTTTGATTCATGTATTTGGACAACGTACATGTTTTAGGCAGTTTTATACGATGAGTAAGTTTGTTTTATCTGCTAAAGTTTTTAGTTTTGGTCTTTTATGTTTTGAGTGATGGCCCCGTGATGGACTTGCGACCTGTCCAGGGTGTACCCCGCCCCTCGCACTGTGACTGCTGGATATGGGCACCAGTGACCCACACAACCCTGAAAAGGAAGAAGCGTGTACAGAAAATGGATGGATGGATGTTTTGAGTGATGTCATACGTCCTCACTTACTAAATATCTGATTAAATCGAACATGGAGGTGAATTTTCTATCAAACTAATGCTTTAATTTAAATTCTGGAACACCTAAAAGCACCAGTTTGCTCAAAGTCAGTTTTCTAAATAAGAAAAGCTTCAGTCAAACCATTAAAAACTTTAAAAAATCTTCAAATGAAACCTGTAAACAGACAGAAAGCCCCTCGCGCGAGGAGGTGCAAAAATAATAAATCCTCTTAAAATTAGACGTAAATTTGTTTGTGTTGAGCCAACCTTTGGGAACTCTTCCTTCAGGCAGGGACACTTGGCTGTAGATTTTAGTTTAGAAAATAAAAGCTCATTTATAAATCAAATTAAAAATCTCCCGGTTCCAAAAGTTAACACAAATCCCTGCTGATGTCAGACAGACAAAAGGTGACAACTTCAGGGACAGGGGTCTCGTTACGACATTATATTTCCCCAAACATTGAGGCGGGCCCTCGAGGAAAACATTTCAGGGGCCTCAGACGTCTTAGCTGCTCTCCTGGGACTTAGAGCTTCACGAGCACAAAATAATGAAGCCATTACAGTCACTTAAGAGAGCATGTTGAGATTACTAATGTACCTTAATTGGTGTCATTATGCAGAGAAGACTTGGTGGAAATCAGATGGTAAATGGTACAAAAATGTTCTGCTGCCTGGCTGGTGTCTGACATTAGCCTCTGCATAATGATTATCTTCAGAGTCGCTGCATTAGATGGTAGAAATTACTGTTTTATTTGGGGAACATGCAAACATTATGGTTTTTTTTTCTAAATACTGGAGGTCAGGCTGAGGTGTTGTTTCATGAACACAACAGCAACACAACATCTGTTTGCTGTCCTAGCAGCTCTTTCAGTGCGAGCCAACAGCAGCTGCACCATCCAAAGAGCCACCGGCCGTACAGCCACACTCCAGCCCCGTGCCCAAAACCCAGCTTTCATCCTCCACACCGAGTGGGTGGCTCTTTGAAACCAGGCAGGAAGCCAGAGGATCCAGTGTTTTGGTGCTGAAGGGCATGAAGGATGCTGTTGTGGGTCGATTTAAATATCATAATAACCAGATGTTAAAATAGATAATAATAAAATCCCATCTTGATTGTATTTGACAAATCCAGGGTTCAAAAACCGGAGTAGCGTTCAGGACCTGAAGCAGTCTGAAGCTCATCTTTTCTGGCCTGCAGACACTGAAGCCCTGGTGGTTTCTGCGCCGTCTGCCTCTGAATTCAAATTTTATTCTGTTTTTATAAAAACATGGCTGCAGGGGCTGGATGTGTTCAGAACCTGACGCCTAAACTTCTCTCTTCAGACTTGGATGGGCTGGTTTGTTTCGCACACTAATTAAGGGCAGCAGTCCATTAGCAGCAAAGCAACCTTTTTACTCTTCACCCACTGTTATTCATTATTATTATTATTATTATTATTATTATTATTATTA